ATTTAATTTAGGCAATTTTAATTTTCGAAGCTTAATTTGTCCATCACCCTCTTCGTCAACGAAGCTAGGTGATTGTTCTTTATATGTTCTGTGGTTCTAAAGTTAAAATTCGTATCGAAAAGAACGTTCAAGAAACTTCATAGTGATTAGAGATATATCATATCTAGCTGGTGTCCACGTAAAATATGAATTTTAGAACATAACATTTTTTGGTTCAATTTTCCAAAATAAAATTAGCCTAGCCTAATAGCCTTGGAAAATCGGTCTAGCAATTCTAAAGATTAGCCAGTACAAACAGACAGACAGACAAAAATTGAAGAAAATATTATTTTGGTATGTGTATCGTATGTATATTCATATGCATGTAGTATAATATTATAAACAGACAGAAAGTTGGAAAATTGGATCTATACAGATAACACAAAGTACTTCATCAATAGTCCCTCGTCTACACAGACCTTATAGTCTCAAGATGCAATAAAAGCAATTGAAATAATAAGGACATGCGACTTTGTACTAGCCAGTTAGCTACATACTCAACCGCTATATGCACTATATAATGCAACAAGGAAAACACTTAATCGACTACAACTAGAAAAAATCCTATACTTATATAATTGTATATAAATTGTCTTGATCTAAGTACTTGATATTATGTACAATGTCATGAATATTCATGATTAATAGTTATTCCTTTAATATGCTTTCAAGTTCTGAAATCTGATAACAAGTTGTCCTTATCTCAGCAGAACATCAATTCAATACAAATAAATAATTTCGATAATGATATTCACGATTTAATTAGTTTCTTAGATGACGTCAGCTTAGAGCAGCCTGACGCGCGAAATGGGGTTGTTGAATTGGTCTCAAAGTAAATGCGTCACAGTGTTAAGTTTCTTTTTCTTTTAATCAATTTTATCTTCATTTTAAGGTCTTTGTATCCTACTAATATTACAAATTGTGAGGATGATGTGTTTGTGTGTGTGTGTGTGTGTGTTTGTTACTCTTTTTCGTCAAAACGGTTGACGGGATCAAGATTAAATTTGGAACAGATGTAGATTTTTTTTTAAGGGGGGAAAATCATCGAATGATTGTTCCCGTCTGGGTGAGGCGGGAGGGAGTGTCAGACTCTTACTGACTAAAAACCACCCCGTTCCTTCTCCTGCACGTCGAGCCGGAGCCTCGGTTACCCGGTAGATTATGTTCTGTAACTTAAACAGGAACGCGGGCGGCAAAATCTTGTTATACATATTGTAAGATTAAGGTACGATGAATCATAGACATCATAATTCTGTGGATGGGACTGTCAAGTATTATTTGTATGAATGTCTCTCAATAAATAAATATAAACAAGGCAGATAGGTACCTTGTTTTTATAAAACTACACAGAAGAGGAGTGGAAGCAGCAGAAGAAAAGGCATTTGGACCGCAGCGCGACGATCATGATTGAAATAAAAAAATCGGTATCGTGTTATTAATAATAATAAGGCATTTATTTCACACATAGACGAATGTTATTGGAAATTACTTACAAACTATTGTTAGTACCGATCACCCTTTGTACAAAATTTTGAATATTGGAGAGTGCATACTCTCCGCTGCGGTTCTCAGGATTTCGTTTTAGTTGTACCTTATTGTTAAAAATTTAAATTTATCCTGACCGTAGATAATATACCTACATGTAGCGCCATCTATACTTTGTACCGCGCACCGGGTTCAGATCCCTCTGTGGATGTTCTTCGCCGAATCGATGACAAACAGATTATTAAAAAATATTGATGGAACACTTATAAATAGGATTATTAAATTCTTACTTGTTTTGATAATTATTACCTAATTAGTTACTTTACCTTTCAGTGATATACCTGCCTACCTGATACGTTATGCGGGTAGATGTTATTTTACAAATAAAATGTTGACCATTTAAAATGTAGTGTGTTATGTTGCATATTTTTGGTATATAGGGAAAATTTATAAATATCAGTGTCTCTATCTCGTAATTACAGGGTAGATTGCGTGACTGTTGGATTGAGAAGATTATAATCTACTTTCGGGCAGTTTTATTTATTTGTTATAAATAATTATGTACAGAGAAAATGATTGTGTTACCTTGATACCTTATATCGCTTTTTTTTAAACTGAGCCACTTTCTTACTGGTCATATAATATGAGCTTCACCAGCTTTACGTCGAAATGTATAAGAGTGCTACAAACATGTATCTACTCTATCATAACTCATTTCCTTGGTGTTTAAAAAAATGTAGGTAGGTACTAGGTGTTACATTTTCCTCATTACACGACGGATAAAATGCATCTATGTAGGTAGGTACTTACCATAATATCGGGGTAAGTCATTGAAAGCTGTTATCCTGTTCAACAACAACAAACAAGTTACACATCAAACAGTATAAATACGGAGCGACGCTGGTGAAGCCTCACAGTTCACATATCTTCGTCTCGCTGCAATCGTCTCGACATCAAGTACTCCAGTACAATGGCTGCTCTCAAGACCACCCTCGTCCTGCTCCTCATTGCCTTCGCGATGTTGGCCTCAATTGAGGCGGTGACCGTGACTCATGTACCAGAATGTGACCAAGTCTGTATCCCCGTGGAAGCTGAAAAGATCGCATGCTGCAAAGCTCATGGGTTTGAAGGATATCGTTCTTGCATCGGTGGACGAATGCATTGTTACAAATAATAGAAAGGCAACAAGTAACTTCTATGGTGTTGCGGAGAGCGTTGATTGTTTACCATAAAGTGATACGTCTTCTCGGTTTATTCCACTTTGTTCACCCGGGTGATTTCACCTAGGAGAACAAAGTAGATTTTTTGGGGTCCTCATTTCACCTGGGAATTATTTCACCCAGGTGATATCACCTAGGTGAATTGAGTTGACTCAGGTAGTCTCCTTTGTTCACTTGTCAATGAATTCACCCAGGTGCTTGTGCACAGACTTTCTACTATTACGTTGTAGTCTACTTGTTCTAAAGTGGAATAAACCGTCTGCTCGTACCCGATAGAGATAAAGTACTGTTTCAATTCAACCTTCTCATCAGCCGGTTTCTTTCTATTCACTGCTGAACATGGACCTCTCCGTTAATATGCCACTGCTCGATATTCAAGCATTCACGTCCAACCACTGCCAGCTACGCAGCGGATATCGTCACTCCACCTAACTGGAGGTCCTACACTACGTTTGTCGGTTTCCACTCCAGAACAATTCCATCCCAACCGTATCATCACTGCTAATCCAGCTATGTTTATTATGTGATTTCTAAATAACACAAATTGACAATGTAATTTTATTGAGAAACAAAAAAAGAATAACAATTAAATCGTATAATTACACTTTTGGGTATATTCAATTCATATTGTAATGCGCTAAATAATTGTCATTACGTAATAAACGTGATTTCTAAATATATAACACAAATTCTTAGTTACCTTAATCACAGTTACCTGATGTTATAGGCAATGTAATTTTAACATAACATAACATCACGCCTTTTATCCCCGAAAGGGTAGGCAGAGGTGTACATTACGGCACTTAATGCCACTGTACAATGTAACACCCACTTTGCACTATTTATGTTACGAGTCCCATGTAATAGGGGGTGAGCCTATTGCCATATACCGGACACAATTCCAGACTCCGTGCTACTACTGAGAATTTTTTAAAACCCAGTAATACTTTGCCCGACCCGGGAATCGAACCCGAGACCCCCTGCCCGACAGTCGCACTTGCGACCACTCGGTCAACGAGGCAGTAAAAAAAAGAATAACAATATTACATTGTATAATTACATTTTGGGGTATATTCGATTCATATACAAGCGCTAAATAATAGTCACCTTTTATTTTTAAGTGTACTACTGCTTAATACAAAATAGGTAGTACGTTGAAAGTGTTGAAACATTGATGCTTCATACCCAGTATGAAAAGGTAGTCGAGACTGTTCATCAAATAAAACAACAGAAATGTTCATGAAAAACGTTTGTATTAGATTCTTAACATAATGATCTCACATGACAACAATACTGATCTCATACCAAACATTTAGAACCAACGTTAGCCTTACTTCACACTGTTTCACCTATAAACGAGTTGCAAAGTCACTGACATGCGAACCGAGATCTTATTCAATACAAATAATTAAAAAAAAGCAAAATAAATGTTGAGAAATAAAAGCAAGATTTGAAAAAAGAAAGCATGTCTATTTCTACCACACAATGTTGCCAGACTACTGAGATTTTTACTTTATTTACTACCAAAAAGGTTATGGAAAACAAAATATGAATTCTTTTATTAATATTTTTTGATTTACAAATTAATATAGTGTAACAATTAAATTCTGACAACATGAAAACGCATGCGAAATAATTAAGCATTGTACCCCTAACCATTTAGGTGCCATTATTGTACAGAATGAGTAGAAAATAATAATAAATTGTTCGAGTGACATACAATTCTATAGGTGAAATCCATTCAATTACGTGACAAAAGTCGAGATGATCACATATTCCTAATTTACTTGAAAAATATATCGAAAAATATTACAATATAATCTTCGATTTTATTATAGTAAGTAAGAATATGCGACATCTTGGTTAAGAAATGTGCTGCGCCAAAACATATGAAGGCGCGCACAGCAATAAATAATTAAATAAAATCACAAGTCCTCCAAAAATGCATAATAATGCTTTCAGAAAATTTTCACAAAGTGGATGTAATAGCACCCGTAAAAAATAAATTGACATAAAGTTTCAGAAAAATATTTCGCTATCAAATAACAGGTATATCAAGATTACAAACTATTTAAGTTCAATACGTGACAAGATATGTCATAAAATTATTGTATCTGGTAACACTAGTTAATATTTCAATTTTAGAACACAATTTTTAACGCATTACTTTCAGACGTGTTCAATATACTCAATATAACATCAATGTAATAAATAATATCACTCAAATTAATTAGACAATAAATCTTGTTATACATCTTAGTTGACGGTAGCGGAGACGGTGTTGACGTTGCCGTCGGTTGTGACGTCAGGGACGTCAGCCTTGGGGGTGTTGCCCTCAACATCGTCTAGACCTTTGTTGGCCCGTCCGTAAAGATCAGCGGTTGTGAGGATTGTGGGCTGTGGCGAGTCTCCTCGAGGTGTGAGGTCTTCTTCCAACATTTTCTTGTGCTTTCCTCGGTTGACAAAGCTGTAAGATGATTACAATTAGTATGAAAGGAAATTTGGTTTAGTTTAATACATTCTGAATTATAATGGGCTCTTGTGTTGAAGTTAAGACATATTCATCCATGTGCAGTAAGACTTTTTCAAGTTAAGTTCACAAGATCAAAACGAGACTCCGTTCGGAGCTCTGATTCGCCGGCTCCAATGGACAAACCAATCAGATCGTCCATCAGCCCTCTGGTCGTTTACTCGTTCGAAACCAGTTCATAATAATGAATACCACAATATTTACTGAAGACCAGATATGTAGACATTAAAATCCAAAATAGACTACTAAAGCCAAGGTTACACTAGGGGACGATCTTCCAAGACGTGTATCGGCGACATGTTATGTGAAGCCGGCCGATTTCGCCCGACGTATTATAAGGCGACAACGCGCGACGTTGATGTTGCCAGACATGTCGACCGAAGTCAACGTCGCGCTACTTCACCCACCGTCGCTGGCGACACGTGTCACAAGACATTTGTCCCCCTTGTGTATCCTTGGCATTAGTATTCCATTTCAGATATTGAAAAGTAGGTTTATTGAGCCATTATAATTCAGAATAGTACTTATAACAATATCATGCAATTGTTCATAGAAAAGGTTAGAAGTGACAAGTGTTAGGTAAAGGGTTAGAAAAACAAGAATAGATTTTTTGTTATTAGTAAACATGGTTGGAGACTTCGAATAAAAACTAGAATGGAACTCTGTTGTATGTCTTTTAAATATAATATGATCTATAATATAATCCCCGTCTAAATATTTCTTTTCATTATATCCACCCAAAGGTTGTCTGGTAGAAATCACTATAAGTGATAAGACCGCCTTTGTGCCCATTATTATTTTTATTTGTCATTTCCTTTTCTGTATATACTGTATTATTAATGGTGTACAATAAAGTTATATTCTATTCTATTCTATTCTATTCTAATGTTTCTTTCCTGATTGAACTCTGTTGTATTTCTTTAATGATCTAATCTAATTCGCATTTAATGCCCCAAGTATTGCAGGCATACATAGGCCACGGTAACCGCTTATCATCAGGTGGGCCGTGTGCTTTTTTGCCACCGTCGTGGTATAAAAAAATATAACATTAAATAGAAAGTTATGATTCATAAATGGATTTAGTTAACTATTTATCCAAAGGCAATCATTGAATCATAGTCAGTAGTCTATGTCAAGCTCTTTCAAATTAGGAATTCAGTTAGTATGAAAAAGTAAAAAAATAATTGAGTATAAGTTAAAATGATCTTTTAAAATTAAAAGTATTTTTATAATGAGGCAACAATATGATTATCATTCTAAGAAATTTACTAATAGACCCTATAATATAGACCCTTTAATTAAATAGTGTCCCAGACATCGACATCCAACCAACATGAAGTTATCGGCAAAAGAAAAACACAGACAAAAAATATCTAACTAGTCTCCAACTATATTCACAAGTAACATTCACGTGAAGTATTTACAATTTGTATTGAAGCAATAATGCAGTACATTCGTTATATAATAATTAATATAATTATTTACTCATAATCAATAAATAAATAAATGCTGTTTATCATCTTAGAAATATGAAAACAAACGAAAAAAAAGCTACATATTATTCTATAAAAAGGATTCATACTTTTTTGGAAATAACAGGCTTAGTTTAGTCTTATAGTTTTTAAATACAATATGTCTGTGACAGATTTCGTTATTCCTTTTGATAACAAACAGTATTTAATCTCATTTTTAATACAACGCCTGCTTCACGAAGCGTTTTTATCACATGCAACTTGTATAGAACTTCAACCATTGCTATTGTTTTTATTTTCATATAAATTTTATTCTGCCTGATATTTGTCGCGTGTCATTATTATTAAATAATAACCCCAAAACCATAATTGCAGCATTAAACTATCTACAAAAAATGGCTAGGTCCTCATCAAAAAGCTTTGTACATTCAGCCTAATGCTACCAAGCGAAGCATAGCACGCGTCCACAATGGAAACTCGGAACCCAACACCTCAACCCGGTACAAATACATGTAAACATACCTCCCATACTGTCACGACAAACCGTGAATGATGTTGATGTGACATTATAATATGAAAAACAAAAAAGAAAAGAATTTCATTTAATTTCGATTTTTATTCAACTGCCAATTGTCTTTATTAATTCTATATATGAAAGGAGGATTTATTATCTGTCTCCTTTTCATTGTTGTCATATTCGAAAATCGAATTTAAAATATGAATTTAAAATAGGATTTATTCTCCTATTTAATTTAGTCACACAAAAAGTAGAATGATATGAAAAAAAATTAAAAAAATTTACCGATTATGATTACTTTTGGCTGCCAACAATATAGCACAGCAAACACAAATTCCCAAAAAAAAAAAACACAAAAATGTTTGTACTCAAAATGACCCCAATGATAACCTATTAACTTCTAGAAATTATGGCAACAATAATGATTTCTTACTAAAAATAATTTATTATTTTTACTGTAACTCTTATTTAAGTCGACGATATACTCGGTATAGTACGCTAAAATGATCTTTGTTTCATGTAAATAGAGAGTATTTTGTTTTAAAATAAAGTATTTGAATATGCCAAGCTTAACATCGGCACGATAACTATAAAATATATGCTAAGAAATAGCAGCGTCATACACATATTTTGTCATGAAAAAATTAAATATTTTTTATTATTCTTTTTGTATTTTACAAAATCAGCTAGAATTGTGGGCAATTTAAAAATGTTTAATTAAACCCACAAACTTTACTTTACTTGTTATCTTAGACATTGAATAACATAATTACATAAAAGATAAAACTCAAGTTACCAAATCCGTGATATAATCTTTGTTTTAACCTCCAATTAACTTAGGTAGGTATTATAAAAGGTCAATGATCTCATAAACAATTTCATATTCGTATATTATTAAATGAAACTGCTATATCTTAGTTTTATTTTACTTCTATAAACAATAACAAATACTACAACATTGATTAAAACTTAATAAACCTACAGTAAGGACTTACTCAAACCATTTATTTAAAAAATATTTTATGTAAGAAAGAGACAACACTATTTTTATATAGCTACATCACTTTCGCACACAATTCGACAAGCTATGCTAGCTAGAATCTACAACCGAATTTAAATCTTAAATGAAAAACAAATAAGGTTCATAAACGTAACATTCTGACAAGCAACGCTCATCTAAGTGAGTTTAACTCTTAAGTACTTATGGATAAGGTTTATAATAAGTCCCATGATGTGCAAAACAACACAGAAAGCGATGGAAACTCACCAAGCCTGGACTTTCTGGAAGATGTAGATGCATGTCATAGGGATCGGGGTCATGATCGCACATGACACGGGCACCACTGGAAAATATCAATTACATAATAAATAATTAACTTTAGCAGTAATGTATATAAATAAAAATGAATTTTCGTTCGTTAGTCTCGCTAAAACTCGAGAACGGCTGGCGATAATTTGAAATGAGAACTTTTTAGGCGGTACGAAGTTAGCCTGGCAGTTGTAAATTAAAAAAAAAACTCAAAGCATGATTTTAATCACATTATGTCCTCGTTGCTATGTTCTATCAGCGACTTCAATTCTATCATCCAACCTTGTCTTGAGTGACTGATTGATCATCACCGAGACCAAACTATTAATGCAATTTGACTGCACGGTTGGTGCGGTGGCTGGGCAACCGGCTGCCGTGCAACGTGTCGCGGGTTCGATTCCCGCACGGGACAACACTTTGTGTGATCCACAAATTGTTGTTTCGGGTCTGGGTGTCATTGTGTATGTGAACTTGTATGTTTGTAAACGCACCCACGACACAGGAGAAAATCCTAGTGTGGGGCAACGTTTTTTAAAAAAAAAAAAAAAACATTCTTGAAATTCGGACTATATATTCATGTTATATAAGCCACCCACTGCAAAGGGATTTTAACAAATTCCACTCCTAAAGGGATTGGACTCCAAAATATGGGGATGAATCTGTATATCTCAAAATCCGTCATTTTGAAAGTAAAAATAAATAAAGTTTGCATATTGACATTAGACAAAAAATACGTATTTCAAGTAATTTGGACATTTTAATTAATAAACCAGGAAATTGGCGCTGCCAATGGACACGCACAACACCCAAGGAATTACAAGTGCGTTGCCGATCTTTTGGGTGTTAGGATTTGATGATTGGGGATTAGAGATTTGAGGATTGAGGATATGTTTTACCATTTTTGTTTTAAGGGGGGAAAATCATCGAATGACTGCTCCCGCCTGGGTGAGGCGGGAGGGAGTGTCACTCTTACTGACTAAAAACCACCCCGTTCCTTCTCCTGCACGTCGAGCCGGAGCCCCGGCAACCCTTTAGGTTCTCCGCGACAACAATAGAGATAAAACAAGCAAATTTTTACGTTACCTGTTGTAAGATCCGCCTCGGGTTGTCCAAGAGCGTATCTGAGCAAGAAGATGGCAATGCCAGTGTTCTGGATGCCGGTCTCTATGGATATAGCCAGCGCGTCCGGGTGTGGCTGGCGACAGAGCCAGGCTGCCAAGTAACCTGCGCAATAACCTAGCCATGGGATACCCATGCCGGCTATTATGATCTGTGAATAGTTAAATAGTGTATTAGTTTCATATTTAGGGTTTTATCTTGTTGGAGAGTCAAAGGTACGAAAGGAGTGTCATGATCTCCCAAAAACCTTGTTTGGACGTGTGATAAAAACCACTGACTGCCTCGTTGGCCGAGTGGTCGCCAATGCGACTGCCGGGCACGGGGTCTAGGGTTTCCCGGGTCGGGCAAAGTATTACTGGGTTTTTAAAAAAAACTCTCAGTAGTAGCACGGAGTCTGGAATTGTGCCCGGTATATGGCAATAGGCTCTATTACATGGGACTCATAACATAAATAGTGAAAAGTGGGTGTTACATTGTACAGTGGCATAATGTGTACCTCTGCCTACCCCTTCGGGGATAAAAGGCGTGATGTTATGTACTAGTAGGACTTGTAACTTACCCGCCAAGTAAACAACTCGAAGATATACAAGTTGGTGACGATGGCGAATATGATGATGAACAGCAGTAGGGTCGTCGAGAAACCTTTGAGGATGCGCACCATGAACCTGGCAATCTTAGGCGTCCAGCGTTGCATGCCCAGCCCTATACCCAGCGGGACCAGCAACCCTATCACGAAGGTCGCGATACGTGTGTACGGAACCACTATTTGAGCGTTACGGAACACCACTTGACCGAGGGAGAATAGCCACATAGGCATAAAAGCTGAAAAAGAAAAAAAATATATATCTCACGCCGTGTTTGTTTGTTTAAACGCATTAATCTGAGGAACTACTGGTGAAGATTGTTATTTTTTGTTTTTGACGTTCAACAAGTGCCTTCCTAGTGGCTTACTCTTGAATCCAATTCCGATCGATCGACAATGGGATTGCGAAATTTCGTACTCTTGAGTTGCTATACCAGCGCCCATCGCATTCGTATTGCGTGGATATTGAATGAACTAAATGGTAATGAGATTGGCTTTATATTCTGTACTCTGAATGATATTCTAACAGCTACAATATTGTGGTTGTGTAGTTTTGACATTGAATAACTATTGAGATTTTATTGGATTGAAATTGCATTGACATTGAGATTGGTTTCAAGAGTAAGCGCCCTGGTCAAATTGAAATAAATGATGTTGACTTTGACTTTGATTTTTGTGGTGGATTTTTTTTATATATTAGATGAGACTGACGTCGGTTAATTACGGAAGGCTGGTTATATTAAACATTATGTTGCGAGCAATATTGGCAGAAAAGCGTGTGGAATCGCGCGGCAGTAACTAGTATCTATATTATAAAAAAAAAACAACAATATACTTACCGAAACAAGCGAGTGTGGATATTGAAGTCATGGCTAACGACAGATTAAGGTTTCCACCAAGAATGAAGGTCCATATGTTGGAAGCACCACCGCCGGGCGCTACTCCTGTGAAGAACATACCTAGACGCATAGCCGGGTCGTCAGGGAAGATCAGGAACCCTAGACCGAAAGACATCTGGAAAGGAGAAAGGGAGTTTTAGAGACAATTTCTTCTTATTTTAAGAAAAAAATCTGTAGTTATGATCGCTAAGTATCCTCATTGACCGAGAGTGGTCGGAAGTGCGACTGCCGGGCACGGGGTCCCGGGTTCGATTCCTGGGTCGAGCAAAATATTACTGGGTTTTTTACAAATCTCAGTAGTAGTAACATAAATAATAAAAAGTGGGTGTTACATTGTACAGTGGCATAATGTGCACCTCTGCCTACCCCATCGGGGATAAAAGGCGTGATGTTATGTATGCATATAAGCTCGCGACATTTGCCACCCAAGCGCGTTTAACGAGAACGAGCACTAAGAGTTTCCTTCATTAAGACGCCATGACGACGTCGCTAGCTACGTATCAAAGTAGGTAATATTGAAAAGTATGGTAAGCGCTCAAAGGTAGTTAGGCGTCGCCGCTGATGTCTAGCATGGCATCCTAATGAGGCAGAGTTTAACTCTTTGGGTACCGTCATTGTAGACACAATTAAAGAACAATAGGTTGGTCACCGGTGACCGCTTGGTGTTTAATAAGTATCTACTTACAAGTGGCATGAAGAGAAACTGTCCACACATCCCTATAACGGGCCCTATAGGCCTCTTGAGTACTTCTTTCACCGTGGGCCAGTGCATCGCGCAACCGAAGTTTATGAAGATTAGTGACACCTGAAACATAACATAGGATAATTTATCTTATGCATGAACATTTAAGGTATATTTTCAAGAGCAGAATTTACTAATGATGACAGGTTTCGGCTTATAAACTATCAATTTTCGATTTCTTAAACGAGTTGTATGGAACAATACATTGTCATATATAATTAAGAAGTTAGTTAAGTAAACATGAAATCCAACTTTCCCTTATTAAGGCCAAGTTCCATGCAATATAAGTCGCTTAACTTATGCTAATCTGAACCTTATCTCATCGTTGTTAAGAATCAATTTTTAATGCAGGTATACGATAACCGATGCAGGATATACTGTAGGTATAATCAAATTATACAAGAATGCGACATGCGTCATAAGGTAAACGTATCAATACAATTTAGTAATTTAATATAACATAATCCTTGTTCATTTGCTATAGTCCTGTTTTTATCGTAAGAATTTGTATTATGTACCTACGTACGTAGTTAAATTGAATTAGGTAAATGATTTTACAAGTGCGTTACCGGCCTTTTGTGTATTAGGAATTTGAGGATTGTTGGGAATTTAGGTATTGGGGAGATTGGAGAAGGGGAGAGGGGGTAATTGGGCCTCCGGTATCCTCACTCACACAACGAAATAAAAGCAAGCGTTGTTTCACGTTGTTTTTCTTTGGGGCCGTGGTACTACTCCGGTCGAACCAGCCCACTCGTACCGAAGTATGGCTCACTCACACTTAGATATACTTAGGTATTCTGTATCTAACTACAATAAGATACCCGTATAATGCTTTCAAGAAGGATTGAAACAAAACATCGCGTCACGATCAATAGGAACATCAGCTGAACCCGCGGGAGTAACTAGTTTTATTTAGCAGCTAGGCTTATCAACAAATAATTAAGATATTAAAAGAATATACTTACAAAAGTAGCAACGGACGTGACGAATATAGTGTCTATGACCCTCTCTGGTCTGATCACTATCACCGGCATAGTGTTGTTTTTGACCTCTAGCGGTTGATTATTGCGTCTACCGCTCAACGTCACATCTGTTCTACCTGAGGAAGGAAATAAAAAAAAACATTTAATTAGGTGTTTATTTTTAACAGACTTCATCAAAAATAGGATCTCAGTCAGTGACACTGCCTCCCGCCTAACTCAGAGGCGGGAGAAGACGAAGTTGTTTATATTCTATAGTATGTAGGATACTTTTAATTCGTCTATCATTGATTTCTCTCGCCTGGGTGACGCGAGTGGGAGTGTCAGACTTACTGACTAAAACCACCCTGTTCCTAAACCTGCACGTCGGGCCGGAGCCCCTGGCATCTCGTTAAGTCCTCCGCGGCTCCGTATCGGCATCAGCCCTATTGGGCCCCATCTTTGGTGGTCTGATCTGGCTCTTTATCGAACTTACTTAGCTAATAGCTCTTCTTGGATTCTTTTACGGTTACAACTAATGAACTTCAAATATATATGTATAAACAATCTTATCATATAAGTTAAAGTTTTTTAATACCTATATGGAGAGTCACGTCACTATATAAGTATAAATAATGTTTCTCATATATAGTAGGTAAAGATATCGCTTACAGATGATATGGACATTGAAAGAGATCACAGGGCGCTAGTAGTAAGGCAGATGCTGGTCCATAGGTTTGCACGGTGCAACGAGCAAGTGAAAGGGACGTTGTTTAGGGCATACTGCCAGTCCTTTTATACGTGCACCCTATGGACCAAATACACTCTGCGAGCTTTTAGCGACTTGCGGGTCCAATACAATAATGTATTCAGGGCGTTGATGGGGCTGCTACGTTACTGTAATGCGTTAGGGATGTTTGTAGTAGCGCAAGTAGACGGCTTCTATGCTATTCTGCGCAATAGAATTGAATCCCTGATGAGGCGCGTGAGGGGCAGTCCTAACAGCCTCCTGAAGGTGGCAGCTCGACTGGACGCCGACTGTTCCATTATGAGACTATGGACGAGGGTTCACATTACCTGTGAACCTTCGGCAAGTGCCCTTACAATTCAAGTTGTTGCAGTGGTTTATTCGGTAGTTTTATTTGTCACTAACATAGTTACAAGTCTCTTTTTTACTAACCCAATATGTACAAACTACTATGAAATAAATTATTAATTATTATTATAACAAAATCATTCAGCTTATGTTATCTTTTACGTAGGCACTATAAAAGTAAAAAAATGAACTACACAAATTGTATGACATTAAAAACTACTTAGCATATTCTTAGAAACAAGCTACAATATTTTTTTTCAAATTTGTTTTAGAAGACCAGGTTTCGGCATAAATGCGCCGGCTCGGTCAGTAACCACGGCCTCATAGAAAATCGACATGAAACAACGCGTGCGTTGTGTCCCGCCGTTTTTCTGTAAGTGAGTTCCCCCCTAATCCTCTAATCCCTAACCCCCAAAAGGTCGGTAACGCACTTGTAACTCATCTGATGTTATGGGTGTCCATAGGCGACGCTGTTCGTTAACCATCAGGTGACCCGTGTGCTCGTTTATCGTCCAATATACCATACAAAAGAATAATATAGTTTCTTACCCAAAAATTTCGCCAAAACTCTCATATTGCCTTCGAATCTACTATTAACGACGTCGGTTTCCGTCAACTGATATGTTGAATTCCATTCCGCTTCGGCCAAATGTGGGTGCACTGTTGACAACGTGAATTCATCTCCAGCCTCCATACCCGTGCCTGAAATATTAAACAAATATGTCACTAAATTAAAACTATAAACTGACAATCATTGCTTTAATTTTGCTTTGACCCGTACCGTGGAATAGCTGAAAATATAGTGACACCTACCACGATGCCTATAAAAGTACTTTAGCTTCCATCGTATTCATCAAATGGTAATAAATACAAGGGCGACTGAAAGGCTCTTAATCTCAAAGTTATAAGATGATGCTCGACAGCGACGCCGAGAAAATTATCTATATAATTTTTTACAGCGCCGCTAGCGGTTAGTTACGGAACTGTAATTAACATACAAAAAAATTTTCATCGACGCTATAAAAGACGACAAATACTATAAACGTATGGTAGAGGTACATTGAAATTAACAGTAACTCACGAAATAAATTGAGAATAGCTCTATTAGTTTCAAGTCACATTGGAACGCTTATTTATGAGCAGCGTGCGTGGCGTTGTTAATTTTAATTAAATTATACTATGTCTCACGATAGATATTAATATTATACAAAAATTGTTTTATAAAAAAGATACAAACCGCTAACAGAAACATTGACATAAGTGTACTCGTTCATGTTGATGGTGACCCCATCAGGGATGAAGGTCGCGGTGAGGTCGGGCACCGCCTGGCAGATCACCCACAGCGGACATAGCGCCAATAGGTATATGATGATCAGGTGCAACGGCCAAATCGGACACATTTCGCCCGATTTTTATTCTTATTTCTATCTGGAAAGAGTTAAAAATAATATTTGAATGTTTTTGTATTTCCTTTAAACATCAAGCTACAAAAAGCTAAACTTATATTCACATTTATAATGATACGAATGTGTTCACGTGGAAGTTTCGATAACCATGGACCCTATTGGGCACAGCAAATAGGATAGATGCCTAATTTGTATTCTAATGTCCGTCTGGTAGATTATTTTAAATCATTAGACACGTCTTTTTATTTTCTTATAGAAACGAATACTTTCGACGATATATTGATTTGAAATGTCGCGTGACGTCACTTCTATGTACATTTTATACGTAGAAATGACGTTTTAGCCCCTAAACTTAAACTTTGATTCGTTTTATCTAAGCATTGTTTTATTATACGACAAAATAAAAAAATAAATGTCTAATATTTTTTCATTACCTAACTTATGGACTAATTAGATTTTTAATTTTCATACCATGTCATCATCCCAATTATAAGGTTTTATTGTAGTAAATAAAATTATATTATCTAATTATGATACATTTTCAAACTTGATGATGATGATATTACCTTTGTATCATGTTATCACTACACTTCTATTATATAATTGTAATTATATAATTTACTATCTTCAAGTATTTATCAGTAAAGTGGTCTCAATCTTAAACAATAGCTCAGTACAATTCAGGTTAAGTATTTGTAAATATTTTCTAGTAAAATCTTATATAATTTAGACTTAGAGAGTATGGCTCGGCACACAGCTACACATCAAGTTACACAAAACCAGTATATCATGGTCCCGCTTCGTATGATCTTTGCGCACATTCAACAGTCAGTTTATACTGGTTACGTGTAGGGTAGACCAGCAAAAAAAAAAACTGGTAACTTAATTGTTACTTAGGTATGTATAACAAATACAAGGCTGGACATCACGATCACGATGCTTAATTTATTACTTAATATAATGGAGTTCTACAAGTCTTGTATCGGAGTAGTTAGAGCAACGCTGGACAGATTCTCTTTCAATCTTAAAGTCAAAGTCAAAGCATTTATTTCAATTAAACCATAGTTTGGTACTTTTGAAACGTCAACAAATACAAAATAAATAATAGTCTGTCAGTCAGTCCGTCAGTGAAACTAGCTTATAACTTATACTATTATAATATTATCTTATACTTTGAGTTTATTTATTTTTTGTTTGTTTGTACGTGCTAATCTCCGTAACTGCAAGTCTGATTTGAATATTTCTTTTTGTGTTGGATAGCGCATTTATCGAGGATGGCTATAGGCTATAAAACATCACGCTACGACCAATAGGAGCTGAGCAGAGCGTGTGAAACCGCGAGCAAGTAGCTAGTTTTAATATAAAATTAATTGGTATAAAATTATTATAAAATTATTTAAGTACTATAGTCAGAATTTTAATTAGATTCCAGATTTGACAATAGCTACTGTCATTTTGTGAAATGATGATACCACATATAATACTGTAGTGCTGCACACAAAAATCGATAAACAATCAGTGTGTGTGTTTTATAATAAATGTTACAGAAAGTGACAGGATAGCGATAGCGATGACGGCAACAATTTATAAAATAACTTATTACCATAATACATCTATCTGTTTTATTTGTCATGTTCCTTCATGATTACATTTTTTTATTTATTTTACACACAATTATAAAAGAAACGTCTCAGATCGTTAATTAATCGTCAAAACTAAATTATCGGTTCAGAAATATTTAATTTCCTGATATACTTAGTTCACGAGAGTAAAATTATAATTATTATAAACGAGAAGAATCGATCCAGAAATATTGCATTTCCATATCGAATAATTTCGCAACGTCACTATTTAGTACTTGTCATAACGTTGCTACACTGAAATTGTCAAATCTGGAATCGAATTAAAATTCCGAGTATAATTATTTCCATATAATTTAACTGGATATAGACTCCAACATCCTTATGAAATGGAATTAATTACATTATCATTTTATTGCGCTTTAAATTAATAATTATATCTAAGAAAATTGTTCATAAGTGGGCGCCATACATGTCTACTGCAAGTTGCAATTAATGTGTAATAATGATAAACTGATAAGCAAATATTATTACAATATAGGTATAATTGTCTAATGTTATAAAACATAAGAATATAAGAATATCACAATAATAATAATATAGCACAAGGGGCAAGCAGAGGAACTAGTAATGAGGTTTGATTGCAGTTATTTTTAAAAAAGTTTACACATTTCTTCAAGTATTGACGAAGTTCTAAAATGTTAGAGACCACTTATCGTTTTTTTTTTATTTTACAAAAATACGTGTCATATTATCGCCTATGCACTAGTGCCTAGACCATCTCAATAACCGCATAGTAAAACCAACCCTGACCTCATTAGAATAAAGTTGAAATATATTTTGAAACGTTGATACAAGGCGAAGACCCAAGCTCACTCACCACTCAAGGTCGACAGAGTTCAAACCGAACTGCTCTTAAAATAAGATTTAAAATTAATTATTTAAACGTAACACTAGCACCTTCTCCCATCATATGGACACAACTGACTAAAGCAGTTTCTTAAAGCAATTACAAATTATATTCCTTATCACCAAATCCTAAGGCCGATTATTGAATGATTTTTCAATAATTTGATAAGCCTAGTAACGACATGGCATGTCTATCTCGTGGGGTTGGTCACGTAGAGATAAAACTGATAAAAACGTATTTAGCATAAGAACTAATTATTTGTATAATAGGTAATCGAAAACGTGGTTTGGATTAGATTGGGGATAAACACGTGAATTTATTATTTTACTAATTAATACATTTCTAAAGTTTATCGTCTAAAACATTTGACGTAATAGAAGGATAAAATCCACGGTTCGCTGGACAAAAATAATCACACTAATCAATCATACGGAGAAGAGTAATATTACAATTTAATTATAGCGTATGCGTACCTATACAAAATAGAAATAACAATATGAAAAAATAACAGCAAAATGAATACGAGTGAATCACGTAAACCCTCCACTTCTGTTACCTGCAAAATGCCAATGTCATTGATACGTACTTTCAGATAAAAAAGATAGTGAAATTATTCATTAGTAGCTACATAGATTAATTATGCATACCATGAAACGCAATCACACACGTTTGTCAAAAATGAAAGAATATTATGTCAGGTTTTAAAAACAATAACAATAGGTTATTTATAGTGACTTATTATAAACGAGCGAAACCGCGGGCTTCAGCTAGTTTAAAATAAAGTTGAAGAGTTTGTTGGTAGCGCTAATCTCCGGAATTACTGGACTAGATTAAATAATTCTCTGTTGGATAGTTCATTTATCAAGGAAAAGTATAAACCATCACACTATGATATAGGATTCAAGCAGTGGATGAAACCGAGTGGTGGAGCTAGTTGCAATATAAAAATAAATCCTCTTTTCTTCTAGGACCTTCAACAAAAATGGCTGCTATTAAGCCAGGAAAGTGCTACGTGATACAATTTTAATTTGTGCTATTACGATTCTCGTCATTATGACGCGTATCGAAATATGGCTGAAATTGTCCTTGAATTTGTGTACGTGGTTGCTATAACGGGTGGAGGTTCGCCATGCAATTTAATGGTATTGTTGCTATCGATTTAATATGTCGTTAAGAGCATTGATACGTCAATCTGATGGTGTTTAGTACTTGTGTACTGACTGCTTTTTATCATTGCTTGAGTGAGTGATGGTATGCGGATGAATAATTATATATAATGATGTAGGTCAAGGTTAAATTATAGCTAGAAAATATTTTTCTTACATAACATCACGCCTTTTATCCCCGAAGGGATAGAGGTGCACATTACGGCCATTATACAATGTAACACCCACTTTTCACTATTTATGTTGAGTCCCATGTGATATTTTTCTATATTCTGTAGCTAGATAATTAGGTAATATTAGATTGTTGAAATGATTTTTTTGAACTACGTGGCTTTTTCAAACTAACGCCAGTTTCTTTAAATTCCTCACAAAAATTACTTTACATGAAATTGTTCAGGGTACGAGGTAGGTACCTACAATATTTTCCTCACGGTATGCGGCAGATGAATAGACGCGGTATTGTCCATTGCTGCGTACGCGCATAATCTTAGAACTTCATTGACATTGAAGCTATCTAAAAATAACTAGACGCATTGTATAATACAAATACGCGAAAAAAAGTAAACATAGGTAGGTATAGTAGTCATCTCTGTGATAATATTGAGTGCAACAGAATATTTTTTTTTAAGTAAGGACAAAATATCTACTGTTATTTGTTTTTATCGGATTTTCTACACATTAGGGTTTTTTGGGTTCTCTTAAAGTGGGTCGCGAATTCAATAACAGTAACATCATATTTCCTAATTTATTCCGTGGCGTTTAATGACTGTCTAGCTAGATCCTCCTCCTTCTTTGAAGTCGGTAAAAATATATAAGTAAAAAATCGCATCAACATGCGCAGCGCAGTTCTAAAGATCTTAGCATACATAGGGACATACAGCGAAAAGCGACTTGTTTCATACTATGTAGTAATAATCATAATACAAGCCTAATGTCGGAATACTCAAACGCTACTCAATTTTAAGTCGCGCTTAAATATAGTTCTGTCACTACATATTCTTTGTAAAATGACAGAGATGGCACGATATTTGAGCACGACTTAAAATTGAGTAACGTTTCAGTATTCCGACATAAGTCTTTAATACGGCACGATTACTACTAAAGGTCGAATATCAAACATAATTACTACAATGTCATGATTACAATGTCATAAAAAAGAAGGTCGTTTTTCGACTTATCAAACTAGTGGGGCCAATTGCAGTCAGATTATTGTTGCCATAATTATATGACGTAACGTAACTGATATCTGCTATCTTCGTCTTGAGTAACAATTGTAATTTACTCTGAAGACTGTATTAAAATTGCAATTCTTTATTATTCAGCTTGAAGACTCTACTT